CACCTGTAGCCCCAGCTACTTGAGAGGCTGAGGCAGGAGAATTGCTTGGGCCCAGGAGTCTACTATGACGCCGCAGCACTGTACTGAGGGCGACATAGTGAGACTCTGCCTCAAAAAAAAAAAAAAAATACAATGGTGAGGTAATAGAGGCTCTACCTACTATGAGTAAATCTTACAGTCATAGACTTATATAGGGAACTTAAAGATACCTAAGAGACCACTTAGGTGAAATATCTCATTTTTAGATACAGAAAGTAAAGTCAAGATCTTAAGATAATTTCATTATTGATTTAGAAGTGTTATTTGTCCTGAATTTTTTTTAGTGAATATGACTTTAGAATTTTTTACAGTTTGATACTAAATTCTCATAACTTTTTTCTTTTCTTGTCATGAAAACCAGGGTATTACTTCATCACTATTTTACAGAAATCTCAGTGATTTGCTCAAGGTTATGAAACATTCTCCTGATGTGGTTGGAGATACAGCTTATTTATTTTATTCCAAATTCAGCATTTTTTTAGATTATAAGATTCTCTAATTATTTCTGTGATTCTGAAAATAAGTTGAAAATATATCACAATGCAATTTAGCTATTTTCTACCTCTGCTTAGATCACAGACTACATGTACATATTAAATTGAACCTGTAAAAAATGGTGTAATATCTTTCCACACATTTTTTTTAAATAAGTTTCAACTGGATTCAAGGTCACTAGCCATGTTTCGTGCGCATTTAAATTTAGATGCTTTCTCAAGAATTTTTATAATTTATCTTTCGTTCATATTAGATATGAATTGTTATGTAAAATGCTAAGCTGCCATATCTTCAGTGATTTCATTTTCTTTCATTTTTTTTTCTTTGTAATAATACTGAATGTCTTCAATCATAAATCAGGTAGCACAGTTTAGAGAATTACAAAGCCCATAAAACTATTCTTAAGGGAGTAACTCAGTTTTAAACTATTAAGTTAATTAACACATTTTAAAATATTACTCTGTCAATTGTTCAATAAACTATAAAGTAGTTAAACTACTAAGTTAATTAACACATTTTAAAATATTACTCTGTCGATTGTTCAATAAACTATAACATGAATAACTGTTCTATAAAAATTGATAAGTTGAATTGGCATTCTGATTGTGAGTGTTCAGAGAGAGTGTTTGATATATTTTCTGAATATGGCACTTTTCTACCTTTCTGGAAACCATAATGTAATCAATCTATTTTAAGGAATGAGAAAAAATATTTTTCATTTATTAAGTTTTCAATTATTTTTCTTTTAGTCTATTTGCAATATCAGATTTGATAAATGTTTGAGAAATAATATAACTTTTAGAAAAATGATGATATTTTAAATTTGTATGAAAGCTTTGGGAGTGGCCATAAGAATTTATTTCCCTACTGAATTTTATATATATATATATACATATATATGTATAAATGTGTATACACATTTGTATATATGTGTACACACATATGTATATATGTGTACACACACAAATATATATATATTTGTGTGTGTACACATACATGTACATAGTCATCTTATATATACACACTTTCTGAGACATATTTCACATGAAATATGCAAATATTTCTTTTGTTCATTCTCACAGGCATTAATATTAAATTTTGATTTTTAATATAATATTAGGCCCCTGACTCTAAAAATACAAAAAAGCAACCTTCTCTAGTTAGTTATTCATAGAAACAGTATAGAATAATTCATTGGAAGAGTGCAGAATTAAAACATCCACTTTCACATTAAAACTTTATCTATTCTTTAGATCCACTAACTTTTATCCAAGGAAATTTCACCCTCAAGAATTGTCTTTGGCACCTTAATTTCCTTAAAAATATAGATAGTGACTAAGAAAACTATATCAGAAGTATGAGGCATTCCTCTTATTTTTATACTCATTTTCCACTTTTTATTTACACATCATGGTTATTTCTTTTTTTTCCCCTCCCTTTTAGCATCATTTCATAAAGGTCAAAGGGTATAATGTGAATAAATATTTATTGAGCATTTTCTAAGACCAACATTTTGTGCATTTTTCGTTCATTACCTCTTCTATGTCTTTAGGAATACTAGGTAGGCAAAGTGACAATGTAATACTCATTTTTCAGATAGGGAATTGGGAATAATCTTAAAGCACTGAAATCACATATCCAAGAATACATACCTGGTAAGTGATAGAGTGGTTGTTTAAACCCAGGTCTATTGTTTTTGCTAAAATCCTTTCTTAAATCTCTTTATAGCTCTTACTTTAAGTTTAAGAAAACATCCTACTATAAAGGCACCTTTCACCCCAACACTGCACCTTTTCCACTAGGATACTTACAACCAGGGGATGAAATGCTATCAGGAGAGTACATTTATCCTGGACTTC